CGGGCCTCCCGGGGGGGGCCCCAGGGGGGCCCCAAGGGGGCCTCCCGGGGGGGGCCCCAGAGGGGCCCCCAAGGGGCCCCCTGGGGGCCCCCCCAAGGGGCCCCCAGAGGGGCCTCTCAAGGGGCCGCTGTCTCCTGGCTTCCCCTTAGCTCCATCTAAACGCTGAGAGGCCCCACGGGAGACAACCTGCTGCTGCTGCTGCTGCTGCAGCTGCTGCTGCTGCTGCTGCTGCTGCTGCTGCTGCGGGTCTTCACGGGTTTTCGTGTGTCTGCTTGCTGCTGCTGCTGCTGCTGCAGCAGGGTCGCAGCAGAAGCGGCAGGGAAGCTCGGTGAAGGGGACACACAAACAAAGCTTGTCTTTGTCTCCCCCAGTCCCCTCAGCAGCAGCAGCAGCAGCAGCAGCAGCAGCAGCAGCAGGAGTTTCAGGCGCTGCTGCTGTTGCTGCTGCTGCAGCAGCACCCCCCATTTCACCAATTGCTGCAGCTGCAGCAAAGTCCAACTTGTGGGAACTTCTCCAGTCCCCACTTTTTGCTTCTCTTTCAAAGGCACTGTTGAGGGCCTCCTGATAACGCAGCAGGCCCCCCAATGTAAGCCTTTGCTGCTGCTGCTGCTGCTGCTGCTGCTGCTGCTGCTGCTGCTGCTGCTGCGTTTGCGCCGCCGAAGAGGCAGCAGCAGCGCCGTCAGCAGCAGCAGCAGCAGCGCAGCAGTCCCTGACACTCCAGCCGCCTCGGAAGCGCGCGAGGTGCTGCAGCTTTTGGTGCAGCAGCACGACGGGAGCTGCTGCTGCTGCTGCTGCTGCTGCTGCTGCTGCTGCTGCTACTTGGGTGTTGTTGCGGCAAATGGCCAACTTCAAAACGTCTTTGTCAACTCCCAAAACCAAGTCGAAGTGTCTAGACAGCTGACACACGTCGCCCCCCGCCCCGCAGCAGCCGTCAGCAGCAACTAGCGGCCGCAGCCCCGCAGCAGCAGCAGCAGCAGCAGCAGCAGCAGCAGCAGCAGCAGGAGGCGCTGCTGCTGCCCCCGGCGGCGCGCCCGGCGCCGCGCCTGCTGCTGCTCCCGCTCCCGCTGCCGCTGCTGCCGCCGCTGCTGCTGCTGCTGCTGCTGCTGCTGCGGGGCGGCGCAGCTGCGGGAAAGAGGGCTGCAGCAGCAGCGCTGCTTCCAGCTGCTGCTGCAGCGCGCTGTGCGCATGCATTGCTGCTGCCATGTGAGCAGCAATTAACTCGAGTGTCATTTCATGCCAAGACTCGGAGTCCAGCAGCAGCCCCTGTCTGTACACCCGAGACAGCGCCTCCCGCAGGAAGTACTGCGGGCCCACTTCGTTCCCCAGAAAGTCAAACCCGCTGCTGCTGCTGCTGCTGCTGCTGCTGCTGCTGCTGCTGCTGCTGCTGCGGCTCCACCAGTCTCCCGCGGCGTCCCCTGCAGCGCACGCAGCAGCACAAGCAGCAGCTGCTGCAGCCGCAGCAGCACTCACTGCACACTCGCCCGCTCCTGCGCACTCCCTGCTTCCCCGCTGCTGCTGCTGCTGCTGCTGCTGCTGCTGCTGCTGCTCTATTCCAGAAACCTTAAGACCCACCTGCATGCGCTGGGGCCTCCAAGCTAATACTTTTCATCTTCTGCACAAGCAGCTCCTCTTGCCCGTCCCCTGGGGGCCCCCCAGGGTCCTGGGGGCCCCCGCAGCTGCTGCACCTGGCCGGGAAGGAGAGGAGCTGCTGCTGCTGCTACTGCGGACTGCAGCAGCGGCTGCATGCGCGAAAAAAGCAGCAGAAACTGCGCAGGGTTTAGGGCCCCCAGCTGCTGCATAATATTACCAAAAAGAGTTGGCTGCTCAGCTGGGGGCCCCTCGGGGGGCCCCTCAGCTGTGCGTGCAGCGCAGCCGGGGGCCCCCCTCCTTGACAAGGACTGCTGCTGCTGCTGCTGCTGCTGCTGCTGCCGCTGCTGCTGCTGCTGCTGCTCGCAGGCCGAAAGGTGGGACTCGTACTTGCGCAGAGACTCTGCTGCTGCTGCACTTAAGCCCGAAGAGGCGGAGTTCCAGGAGCCCCGGGGGCCCCGGGGGCCCCTGGGGGCCCCCTCAAAGCTGCCCCTGGACTCCGCAGCAGCAGCAGCAGCAGCAGCAGCAGCAGCAGCAGCAGCAGCAGCCTGGGGGCCCCCCTGCTGCCGCGCGTGGCTCGCAGGCGCATTGGGGGGGCCCTTTGCGCCCGCTAGGCTGTTAAAGGCAGTCCAGCGTGAAAAGACAATGCATGCATGCGTAACAGGAGCAGCAGCAGCAGCAGCAGCAGCAGCAGGAGTTGCTGCTGCTGCTGAGGCGTTGCAGCCAGTCTTCCCCCAGTCCTCCGCAGCTCCTGCGGCTGACTGACCCTCAGCAGCAGAACGCCCCTGCTGCTGCTGCTGCTGCTGCTGCTGCTGCTGCTGCTGCTGCTGAACCCGCCTTACCTTGGCGAGAAGCCCCTGCAGCTCCTTCCCTCTTGTCTGGATAGTGTAAAGGCAGGCCGGAGGAAGAGCTGGAAAGCCACAAGCAAGTGAAGACTGGAGGTGAGTGGGGGAGGCCTCTGTGTGCTGCTCCATGTTGCAGTAGATAGCGCAGCAGCAGCAGCAGCAGCAGCAGCAGCAGCAGCAGCAGCAGGACTTGGGGCTCCGCGGCGCTGCTCTTCCGGCCCGATCTGCGGCTTTTTCGCGCGATTAAGGCCACAGAAATGGAAATTAAAACAAAAAACTGCGAATTGCAAGTGAGGGAAGCAAAGTCGCCGTTTTCTGCAGCGAAAGCTGAACTCAACGCACCGCGCAAAACTTGAAACGGGTTCAAGAGAGCCCGATCCGCCGCTCTTTTGGGAAAATAAAAAGATATTTCGAAAAGAAACAACAAAAGGAACTTCAGGAAACTGGAGATCGCGAGTGTGGATTCTTTTTTACTTCTTTTTTCCGCCTTGCTGCATGCAGAACACGAGCACTGGCAACGACACCATCGAGCTGCTGCTGCGCAGGCCAGCAGCTGCGCAGTGCGGCTCTCTTTCTGCACAAGACATTACCTTTTAAATTTGTTTCAAATTTGCAAATTAAAAACAATTTCGAATTGCGAGGCGGTCGATCGCGGCGGCGGCGTCGCTCTTGGAGCCCCCGGCTGCTGCAGCTGCAGCAAGGGAAGCGCAGTGTACACTCAGCGTTTCCCCGCGTGTTTCCGCGATTTTCGATTTAAATTCAACTTTCACTGAATTATTTCTTATTTTTTACTTTTAAATGCCACTTAAACGCACCCACAGGCCCGTTTTACCCCCAGACTCGCCCGCCGGCGCACAGTTGAAACGCCCCGAGCACAGCACTGCACACTGCACAGCCAGCCCCCGCGTTCTGCAGCGCCAGAAGCTCGAAAGAAGTTTTATTTAATTTCAATTTCATTTATTTCCTTTTTATTCTTTTCCGAGCTGCATTTGGAGCTGCGGAGGGGGCGGGAAAAGCCCCAACACCCCAAGACATTCTGCATCCGTTCAATTTGCAAAGTTCCTGCACACAACACGCACCCCCACAGAAAGCTGCATGCAAAATTCCCCAAGTTTCTGCTGCTGCTTTTCTCAGTTTTCAGCTCTCTTTCGAGCTCCTGGAGTGTATGTACACCCCAAGAGCTTCAGGGGGGCCAAAAACGAAGTTTTGTCTTCTGCATTTCTTTCTGTCTTCCCTCTATGTGCTGCAGCGGAGTGTACGTACACTTCAAGCAGCCTTGCAAAGCAGCTGAGCTGCTGCATGCACTCTTCAAATGCTTTTTTAGCTGTCTGCAGCCTTAGTGGCTTTGTACTATCAATACTATTAATCTACAGCTAGCCACAGCTAGCCACAGCTAGCCACGGCTAGCCACAGCTAGCCACAGCTCGCCTGAATAGCCCCAGAAAGTGGTGAAGCCTAGCTCGCGCTTGCCTGTACAGCAGCAGCAACTGCGGTCTTCTGTGGCTCTCGTGGGCCTCACAGCCACTTTTTTAGGCAGCTTTCTTTTCGACAAAATCAAATTTTATTTTCTCTAATTTGAAGCTCTTTAGCCTCAGGGGGGCCCCTGTGTCACTGAAAGCTTTCCTGGGGCCCCTTTAGGGTCTTAAGGGGCCCCTTGGGGCCCCCAGGGGCCCTTTTGGGGTCTCAGGGGGCCCCCCGGGGGCCCTTTGGGGGTCTCAAGGGGCCCCCTGGGGGCCCTAGGGGCCCTTTGGGGGTCTCAAGGGGCCCCCTGGGGGCCCTAGGGGGCCCGCAGGGCCCTCTGCGGGGATGTGGGGGCCCCCAGAGTATTAAAAGTATAAGAGTTCTTTTCCTGAAAAAGGAAATAGTTTTCAGACTTTCAAAAGACTTGGGGGGCCCCTGGGTAGGGCCTGTGGGGTCTCAGGGGGGCCCCCAAGTGGGCCCAAAAGGAGGCCCTCAGGGCCCATTGGGGCCACAGGGGGCCCCCCAGGGGGCCCATTGGGGCCACAGGGGGCCCCCCAGGGGGCCCCCAAGGGGGCCCCTGTGCAATTCATTGGGGGCCCCAGGGGGCCCCCAGGAGGGCCCTAAAGGAAGTCCATTAAGGGCCTCAGAGGGCCCCCAAGAGGGGCCCCAAATGGGTTCAATTAAGGGTCTCAGGGGGCCCCCAAAGGGGGCCCCAAAGGGGTACAATTAAGGGCCTCAGGGGGTCTCCAAGGGGCCCCCCAAAGGGGAACAATTATGGGGCTCAGGGGGCCCCCAAGGGGCCCCCAAAAGGGAATTTGGTGTTGCAGCAGAAGGGCCTGGCTTGTGGGGGGCCCCTGTGAAGCTGTGGGGCCTGGGACTTAATTTAATTTAATTTAATTTAATTTAATTATTTTATTTAATTGAATTGAATTTGTTTATTTTATTTAATTGAATTGAATTTATTTATTTTATTTAATTGAATTGAATTTATTTATTTTATCTAGTTCTGCAGCTTCTTATGAATATATATTTTATATATTTAATGTAAATATATATTTCTGGGAAGCTGCAGAACTCATATATATAATTACAGATATATATATGTATATATATATGTATATATTATATATATATATAATGTATATATATGTATATATGTATGTATATATATATATTATATATATATAATGTATATATATGTATACGCATTACATATATATAATTGTATATGTAATGCATATATACACATTATATATATATATATATATATATATATATATATATATATATATATATATATATAATGCATATATGCAAGACTTATCCAAGAGTAATATATAAAGTATATACACATATATAATACGCTTATAGTTAAGGGGAGCTGCAGCACCAGTATATATATATAAATATTTATATAATACATATACATATAAGTATATATGTAAATATATATATATATTATAAATATATATATTATATATATATACATGTATATATACATGTAATAAGCTGCAGAACAATATATTATATATGTATATAATAAATATATATTTATTATATATAGTATAAATATATATTTATTTACTGAGGGCTGCAGAACTAATATACAAAATAAAAGAAAATGACTAACGAGGGGCTTTAGTCAGAGGCCTCTGGCAAAATGAAAAAATAAAAGAAATAAAAGAAAAGAAATAAAAGAAAAGAAATAAAAGAAAAAGAAATAAAAGAAAAATAAATAAAAGAAAAAGAATTTAAACAGAAATAAAAGAAAAAGAATTAAGGAAAAGAAATGGAAGAAAAGATTAAGGAAAAGAAATGGAAGAAAAGAAGAAGCAAATTCAAGTTAATTAACAGAAAGAAGCAGCAGCAAAAGCAAAGGGGGATTTGAAAAGAAATAAAAAAGAAAAAAATAAAATAAAATAAAACAAAAACAAATAAAATAAAATAAAATAAAATAAAATAAAAGAATAAAATTAAAACGATCAAAGTGCTGTTTTCGTCTTTATCCTTTTTATTTGAAAGACAGAGAAATACAAGGATCTAAAACTCTTCAATTTCATGTCTCCCTAAACCCTAAACCCTAAACCCTAGACCCTAAACCCTAAACCCTAAACCCTAAACCCTAGCGGGCCTCGCGCAGCTGCGTTGTGGAGGTCCCGGCTGGGCGAAATGGGTTAAAAAAAGGATAAAGGCGGAATAAAAAGGAAAATAAAAATAAAAATGGATTTAATTATATTTTAATTTGCAAAAAATAAAAAAGAAAATGAAAAATAAAATAAAATTTAATTAATTTTAATTTGCTGCTGCTGGGCTGGGGGGTGGGGCTGCTGGCCTTGCCGGGCGCTGCTGCTGCAGCGGCTGCGCGTGTGCATGCAGAGGCTTTAAACCACCGAAATTGCGGATTTTTTCCCTTTTTTTCAATATTATTAAATAAATAATAATATTTAAATTGTTTTTAGTTCAAAAAGTCCCAATTAAAGCCTCCAAATGCCCACACACTGACGCCGCTCGCCCGCGCTCTCGACGGACCGCCGCCGACCCGCCGGACCACCGGAAACCCACTCAACCAGCGGCAGAATTTCCTTCTTTTTGAATTTAATTTAATTAATTTGCAAATTTTATTATTTTCCGAGTTTAATTTCACCATTTGAGCTCCACGCGGCCGCAAAAAGCTCCCCAGCAGGCCATTTTGAGGCCCCCCGCTTCCCCCCCCCTCTTCTCCATTTCCTGCCAAGTTTCTCCCATTTCTTTTCCTACGAACTGCTCGGGGGGCCCCCAGGGGTTTAGTAAGAAGGGCCCCAGCAGTTGGGGGAGAGAGGGGCCCCCCATCTGGCTTTTTGGGTACCGGAGCCCTCCGGGGGCCCCAGGGGCCCCCGGGGGCCCCCACTGCAGCCAATGGAGTACCCTGGGGGCCCCTGCGGGCGGCTCTCCTCCGCCTATGCGCGCCGGCGGCTCTACAACAGACTGGCCCTCGAGGGGCCCCTCGGGGGGCCCCCCGGGGGGCCCCCCGGGGGGCCCCCCGGGGGCCCCCTTCTGCAGCAAGACCGCAGCAGCAGCTTGTTAGGAAGAACTACTTCCCCAACTTTAAGGGCCCAAGAAGCAGCAATTCGCAGCCAAATGCGCAGAGCCAACTCGGGGGCCCCCAGCAGCCCGGGGCCCCCCCCCCTGGGCCGCCACAGCGCGGCCCGCGCCGCCTCGCGGAGGGGCCCCCGGGGGCCCCCCGGGGGGCCCCCCGGGGGGCCCCCCGGGGGGGCTCCCCTGGGGCCCCTCCAGGGGGCCCCGGGGGCCCCCGGGGGCCCCTTTGGGGGCCCCCAGGACTCCCCGGAAAGAGATAAAAGCCCCACTTTCAGGGCCCCCTTTTTCTGTCCTGGAGAGGAAAACAAGGGGGCCCCCTGTTGGCTGCTGCTGCACGAAGAAGACGTGCAGCAGCAGCTGCCAAGGGGGGCGAAGCTGAGGCCCAGTGGGGGCCCCTCTCGCAGCAGCAGCAGCAGCGCAGCAGCGCAGCAGCCCAGGGCGCGCTGCAGCAGCAGCAGCAGCAGCAGCAGCAGCAGCAACCGCGCAGGCCTCGAGACCCCCAGGTGGGGGGCCCCACACCTGAGTGGGGACACTGCAGACTTTGCAGACAATCTCCAAACAGAGGTCTGTCGCGCCGCTGCTGCACTTGCTGCTGCTGCTGCTGCTGCTGCTGCGCTTGCTGCTGCTGCTGCTGCTGCTGCATCTGCCGCCGCTGCTGCTGCAGCAGCAGCAGCAGAGGCTCTGCCTACGGCTAGCTGCATCCCTCCTGGCTAGCTGCGGCCATCTGGGCCTCATGCAGCTAGCTGAAGTTAGCGCCAGCAGCCCGCAGCTAGCTGCAGCAGCAAACTGCAGCAGCTAGCTGCAGCAGCTAGCTGCAGCAGCCCCCAGGTAGCTGCAGCTAGCTGCAGCTAGCTGCAGCAGCTAGCTGCTCCCTTTGAGCTGCTGCGTGTTGTGCGTCTCTGTAAGCATTCAATAATATAAATAATATGCAAATATAAAAATATTAATAAAATAAATAAATAAAAAAGATTTATAAATGAGAAAAGGCTTTTAGTTTCCCGTTTGTGCTGTCTAGACACCCGAAAAGGAGCCCCAGCAAAGAGGCCGATCTCCCCGAAGGCGATTCAGCTGTACGTACACCTGAAGGCCCCACAACCACCCCCTAATAAAATAAAATTAAAAATGAAATAAAAACTTTAAAGTTAAATAACTTAAATAAGGTAAAGTTTTAAATAAAATGATTCAAATATAATAAAATTACAAATAAAATGATAAAAATCAGATAAAATGATATAAATAGAATCAAATTTAAAATAAAATCATTCAAATAAATTAAGCTTCAAGGTTAAAACCCCAGGGGGCCCTCAAGGGCCACTTGGGCCCCCCAAGGGGGGCCCTCAAGGGGCCCCCGAGAGGCCCCAAATGGGGCCCCCTGGGGGGCCCCTGGGGGGCTCCAAATGGGGTCCCCTAATGGGGGCCCCTCAGGGGCCCCAAATGGGGTCCCCAAACGGGGGCCCCTGGGGGGCCCCACACGGGGGCCCCTGGGGGGCCCCACACGGGGGCCCCTGGGGGGCCCCACAGGGGGGCCCCTGGGGGGCCCCACAGGGGGGCCCCTGGGGGGCCCCAAATGGGGGCCCCTGGGCATAACTAGAAAGGCGTTGTGGATGTCTTTTGCTGCTTATTTTCTTTTTTGGATTTAAAGAAATTTGAAAAGTCTTTTTTAATTCTTTTCTGTTTTGCTGCTTGTCTGCAGCACAAGGAGGCCGCGAAGCTGTGGGCGCGGGCTACCAGCAGCAGCAGCAGCAGCAGCAGCAGCAGCAGCAGCAGCAGCAAGATGGGGACACGAGGCGTCCATTGTACCCTTCAGGAAGCAGCGGGGGGCCCCCCACGGATTTCCCCGAAAGTACCCTAAAGGGGGCCCCCAAGGACTTTGGAAATTCTCCTTTTTTGTTTTCGGGGGGCCCCCCTTCCTTTGGGGCCCCCAATGGCGACAGCGGTGGGGCCCCACACTTCGCTGCAGTGCATGCATTTTATTTGCTGCTTTGGGGGGCCCCAAGTGCTGCCTGGGGGGCCCCCAAGGGCCCCCCGGGGGCCCCAGGGGCCCCTTGGGGGCCCCAAGGGCCCCCCGGGGGCCTCCGGGGGCCCCCGGGGGCCCCCGGCCCTTAAGTAAAGATGCATGCGTTTTTGCGCAGCGTGGAGTGTATGTACACCTCACCCTGTGCCTTTTGCTGCAGACCTGGAGACACAAAAGGGTACTGAAGACCACTGGGGCCCCCCAGACAACAGGGGCCCCCAGGGCTCCCAGGGGGGCCTTGGGGGCCCCTATGGGGGCCCCCAGGAGTACGGGGGCCCCCAAGGGTACCGGGGACCCGAAGAGCACAGGGGCCCCCCGGAGTATGGGGGCCCCCAAGACGACAGGGGCCCCCATGACGACAGGGGCCCCCAGGAGTATAGGGGCCCCCAGGAGTACAGGGGCCCCCAAGACGACAGGGGCCCCCCGGAGTATAGGGGCACCCAAGAGTATAGGGGCCCCCAAGAGTACAGGGGCCCCCAAGAGTTCAGGGGCCCCCAAAAGGACAGGGGCCCCCAGGAGTACAGGGGCCCCCAGGAGTACAGGGGCCCCCAGGAGGAGAGGGGCCCCCAGGGTTTGGATTTGAGAATATCTGAGACCCAACTGAGGGCCAAAATGGAGTTGGAAAGATCTCGAAGAGGACAACGTGGGGCTGTTGAGGGGCCCCTGCATGCGCCCTATGCCACTTGGGGCTCTGAGGCTCCCTTGTGGGTTTTTGGCGAAAGTTGGGGAATTTAGGAGGGATTTTGGAGGAAAACTTTCCCGTTTTTGTCGCCTTTTTATTTATTTAATATATTTATTTTATTTTAAGACACAAATGGGTTTAATTGCGCTAATTTTCATGTAAATAAAGGCGCTCTGCATGCGCGCTGCATGCAGACGCGCACGCGGTATTTCAGGTGTACATACACCCCATGCATGCAGCGCTTTTTGTGAAATTTTTGCGGAGGAAAAGAAAAATGGCAAAAAACAAATAAAACAATAAATATAATAAATATAACAAATATAATTAATATAATTAATATAATTAATGTAATTAATATAATTAATATAATTAATATAATTAATATAATTAATAATTCAAATGGAGAAGTCGGGGCGCGCGAAAAGTGGAAAAGACGGACAGAGGCCACGGGGTGTACGTACACCTCGGCGTTTGTGTCTCAGAGACACTGCGGAGGAAAGACAAAAGAAAAAGTTCAAAGAAGAAATGAAAGAAGAATTAAAACAAAGACAAAGGAATATGGAGCCCCTTTCCGTCACAGAAAGAGCAGCGGCAAAGGCAGAAAGTGAGAAAGCCGAGGGTTTAGGGTTTAGGGTTTAGGGTTTAGGGTTTAGGGTTTAGGGTTTAGCAGTGAAGCCCGCCGCTCTGCTGCTGCAGGTGATGCAGTTTTGCTGCTCTGCTGCTGCACACAATTTACTAAGTAATAATAATAATAATAATAATAATAATAATAATAATAATAATAATAATAATAATAATGATAATAATAATAATAATAATGGTAATAATAATAATAATAATAATAATATAATAATATTAATAATAATAATAAATGATGGTAATAATAACAATTAATAATAAAGAGAGAATTCGAATTGAAAAGAGTAATTTTTTTTTGTAATTAAAAATAATTATTGTATTTAATTAAAAAGAATTATTCTATTTAATTAAAAGGAATTATTATATTTAACTAAAAGGAATTATTATTTTTAATTAAAAAGAATTATTATTTTTTAATTTTAATTTATGCAGTTTTGGGCTGGCAAACAAAAGCACAAAATTATTATTTGCTTTACCAGCGGCTGCTGCAGCGGCAGCAGCCCCTGGAGTCACAAGTCCTAAAACTCACCAAAGGTAAAAAGCCCCAAAAATGCATGCATGCATGCATGCATGCATGCATGCATGCATGCATGCGTTCGTGCATGCATGCATGCATGTGTGCATGCATGCATTTCAGGGTCTTTTTGGTTTGTAATTATGTGTCTTTGTTTCTTGTTAAAACATATTTGCTGGCATGCATTTAGGCTTCTGTGCTTTTAAAAATATGTTATTTTAAATTTATATAAATATATTATGCATTTTTATGTATTTTTAAATGTAGAATTGCATGCATATTTATTTGCTGAATAAGTAATTAGTTATAAATAAATAAATATATATGTATATATAAGTAATTATATATAAATGTAAATTTCCATTTATTTCTTTTAAATTCCCAAACGCATGCACTTTTTAATTTTGTGTGTTTCTGGTGTAGAGACACTCCAGGAATCATTTAAAGAAATTCTTTTCTTCATTTTTAAATTTAAATGCATTTTTAGTTTTTTGTATATTGCGGATTTATTCATTTGCAAATAAACTTATTTGTTTATTAGTCTAAATAAATATATTTGTTACTGCATGCATGCATGCATGCATGCATAAATAACATTTATTTACAAATAAATATATTTGTTTGTTAATGTGTAAGTGTACTTTTTTATTTACAAACAAATGCATTTCTTTATTCTTCAATAAATCCATTTGCGCATGCATTTAAATAATCATACTTGCTTATAATAATATGTATATTTACATTGTCATTTATATTATTTTTTAAATAATTGTAATTAAACAAATAATAAAGTCTTGAGCGCATGCAGCCCGGCTGTGCAAATGGAGTGTACATACACCTGGTGGCGGCTGGCCTTGGGGTGTATGGGGAGCTGCAAGTTTGGATTTTTTGGATTTTTTGCATTTCTTCATCAATTTTAATTCTTTTTCTTTCAATTAAAGACTATTTACAATATTTTTTAAAATTATTTTTCTTTTTTCCTCTTTGGCAGACTTAGCTGTTGCAAAAGAGGCCAAAAACAACTCGCGCATGCAGTCCCCAAACCCTGCGACGCATGCAGAGCCCAGCCAGGCAGTGTGGGGCCCCACAGACGGCCAGGTAATGCGGTGAAGCCCCTGGGGCCTAGGGTTTAGGGTTTAGGGTTTAGGGTTTAGGGTCTAGGGCTTAGAACTTGGGTCCTAGGGTTCAGGATTTGGGGCCTAGGGTTTAGGGTTTAGGGTTTAGGGTTTAGGGTTTGGGGGCGGAGAGGGCAAATGAAAAGTTGAATTAAATGCGAACTGCACTATAAATGCATTTAAATGCATTTATAATTTGAATTATAAATAATTGAAGTTATAAATGCATTTAAATATGTTTTAAATTAAATAAAACTCCATTTCCTCAAATGCATGCACTTGGGGCTTTGCAGCGTTTCATCTTGCTGCAGCTGCTCGGGTGTATGTACACCCCAGCTCCTGCTTTTGGTTTTTTCTTGAAAGCGCCTTTTTGTCCTTTTGCCTTTATCTGCTCGCCAATTAAATTAAATTTAATTAATTTAATTAATTAAATCAAATTAATTTGATTTAATTTAATTAATTAAATTAAATTAAATTTAATTTAATTTATTTGTTGAAGTCCTAGGGAAGTTGATGCAGCAGAAGCTTGTGGGTCTTTTGTCTTCAGCTGTCTGCAGACTACAAAGAGCTGCTGCAGTGTTTGCTGGGGGTCTGCAGCAGCATAACTCCTGTCTTTGCCCACCAAGTGCAGCAGCAGCAGCAGCAGCAGCAGCAGCAGCAGCAGCAGCAGCAGGGGGGGCCCCCGGGGGGCCCCCCCCCCATTGTCGCGCATATGATTAATGCTGTCGAATTTGTTGCTGCATGCAGCCACCAAAGTGCAGCAATAGAAAGGGCCCGGCAGCAGCTTTGGGCGGTGCTGCAGGGGCTGCCGGCGAGCTGCTGGGCCCACGCGCAGCAGCAGCAGCAGCAGCAGCAGCAGCAGCAGCAGCAGCAGCAGCAGGGCGGCGGCAGGGCGAGGGGCAGATCTCTCAGCAGCTGCAGCAGACACACGGGGACCCGCAGCAGCTCTCGCCGTGTCTCTTTTGTCTCTTCTGACGAAGACAGCAGCAGCAGCAGCAACAGCAGCAGCAGCAGCAAACGGGGGGCCCCCAGAGGGGCCCCAAGTGGGGCCCCAAGAGGGGCCCCCAGGGGATATGCCTTTCCTACCTTCCGCGATGGAAAAGTTATAAGTCACGAGAGACATCTCCTCTTTACAGTGAGCCCCGAAACCCTAAACCCTAAACCCTAAAACCTAAACCCTAAACCCTCGGTGGTGCAAAAGACAAGTTTGCTGCTTCTTTTGCTTCAGGCAGCCCCAGTGGACATCTCCATGCAGCAGCAGCCCCCCAGCAGTGGCCCACGTGAGCTCTTAGTGGCAGTTATTGCTGCAGCAGCAGCAGCAGCTGCTGCTGCTGCTGTAGCTGCAGCAGCCGCTGCTGCTGCTGTAGCTGCAGCTGCTGCTGCTGCTGCTGTAGCTGCAGCAGCAGCAGCTGCTGCTGTAGCTGCAGCTGCTGCATCTGCAGCTGCTGCAGTAGCAGCTGCAGGAGCACGCGTTGCTGCGCGGGCAGCCGTAGCAGTTGCTGCAGCAGCAGCAGCAGCAGCTTGTGTGCGCTGTGTGCTGCTGCTGCAGCAGCCGCCGAGCAGCAGCGCAGCAGCAGCACGCAGCAGCAGAGTTTGCTGCAGCGAAGAGTCTGTGCTGCTCTTAGCCTCAAAGACATGCAAGCCAGAGCCACGCTGCTGGCCCCGACTCGCGCTGCTGCTGCTGCAGCAGGTGAGCTCCCGCTGCAGCCTCAGCAGCAAACTAGCTAGCTGGCTAGCTAGCTGGCTAGCTAGCTGGCTAGCTAGCTGGCTGGCTGGCTAGCTGGGTAGCTAGCTAGCCAGCTAGCTAGCTGTCAGACGTGCTGCCCCGCACAAAGCAGCCATCCAGCTGTTCTAAGGGCTGGCCGGCGCACCTGGCTAGCTAGCTAGCTAGAGCCTAGCTAGCTAGCTAGAGCCTAGCTAGCTAGCTAGGGCCTGGCTAGCTAGCTAGAGCCTGGCTAGCTACCTAGAAACTAGCCAGCTAGCTACCTAGCTAGCCAGCTAGCCAGCCAGCCAGCCAGCCAGCCAGCTAGCCAGCTAGCTAGCTAGCCAGCTAGCTAGCTAGCTAGCTAGCTAGCTGACACTTTGTAGGGGAGGCAGGTGGCAGCTAGCTAGCCAGTGGAGCGCCTGCTGCTTGTGTGGGGTGTGGGGTGTCTGCGCAGACACCCCAACGCACAAAGAAGCCCCACTGCATGCAAAGTTGGGGCCCTCCAGCCGCTTCAAGTTTCTTGCTGCGGGGCCCCACAGGACTGCAGCAGCAAAAGCCTCCACGCCCAGTGCAGCAGGTGGGACTGCAGCAGCAGCAGCAGCAGCAGCAGCAGCAGCTGCAGCAGCAGCTGCAGCAGCAGCTGCAGCGCTGTTTTGTCTTCAGAGATTCGCTCCAAATGCCTCTTTGTTTGCATGCGTTTTGAGCCGGGCTTAAAGGCTTTTCGATTTGCTGCAGCAGCCTGCACGAGTGCTGCTGCTGCTGCTGCTGCTGCTGCTACTGCTGCTGCTGCATCAAGGGGCTGCAGCAGAGTGGCTGCTGCTTTTGTCGCTGCAGGGCCAATTGCTGCTCTTTCTAGGAAGAGCCCTAACCTGCTGCTGCCGCCCACTGCAGCAGCAAGAACAGCAGCAGCAGCACCAGCAGCAGCAGCAGCAGCAGCAGCAAACAAATATCCCGTTTCGTCCGTCTCTCCGCATGCAGCAACACCGTCAGCCCCCGCAGCAGCAACTCTCCCACTCACCGGAGCTCGTGTGCAGCAGCAGCCGCAGCAGCAGCAGCAGCAGCAGTTGCTGCAGCAGCAGCAGCCACAACAGAAGCAGCCGCAGCAGCCAACACCGCCACCGCAGCAGCAAGCGCAGCAGTCGCCGCAGCAGCAGCAACAGCCGCAATCGCAACCCCGAGAACAGCAGCAGCAGCAGGACAAGCAGCAGCAGCAGCAGCAGCAGGACAAGCAGCAGCAGCAGCAGCAGCAACAGCAGCAGCAGCAGCAAACACAAAAAGACCACCATCTATCCTCTCCGCTGCACACTTACCCCTCTGCTGATGCTGCTTCCTCTGCAGCCAAGCCGGGGGCCCCCGCAGCAACTCCAGGGGCCCCGGGGGCCCCCAAGGCCCCGGGGGCCCCCGAGGCCCCAGGGGCCCCTAACACCCCCGGGGCCCCCAAGACCCCAGGGGCCCCCGCTGAGTCTGTGAAGAAAGCAGCAGTGAAGTCGAAGTCTCTTTTTCCGGATATTGAATCTGCTGTTGCAACAGATGATGAAAGTAAAACAAAAAGTGAAAGGGGGGCCCCCAAGGAAGAAGAAGGGAAGGCTGGGGGGCCCCCCGGTGGAGGGGGGCCCTCGGGGGAGAAGGCTGCAGCAGGGCCCCCCAAGCCCGCAGCAGCAGCAGCAGCAGCAGCAGCAGCAGCAGCTCCTGCTGCTGCAGCAGCAAAGAAGGAAGGAGATGGAGACAAAGCCGGCAAAGAGGGAAAGGGCCCAAAGGCAAAGCCACAGGGGCCCCCTCCTAAAGGGGAGGCGTCTCCCGCAGCAGCAGCAGAAGCAGCAGCAGCAGCAGCAGCAGCAGCAGCAGCAGCAAAGAAATCGCCCGAAAAAGCAGAAGACACTAAGAAGGCCCCAGAGAGCCCCAAAAAAGCCCCAAAAGCTGCAGCAGACACTGAGGCCCCCAAAGAGGTAAAATGCTTGACAGTAGGGTTCTGCATGCATGCATGCATGCATGCATTTTTGCATGCATGCATGCATGCATGCATGCATCTTTGCATGCATGCATGCGTTTTTGTATGCATGCGTGCATGCATGCATGCATGCACAAGTGCGTGCAGAAGAGTTGGGCTTTTCCTGCCCGTGGGGCTGTGGGGCCTAGAGCCTGCAGTTTATTTTGCTGCTGCTGCTGCTGCTGCTGCTGCTGCTGCTGCTGCTGCTGTTTTGCTGCTGCGCTGCGCAGGGCCCTCCAGCAAAAGAGGCGCCAGGTAGGTGTACGTACACCCCAGAGGTGGAGAGACATCCGAAAGATAAAGAATGAAATAAAGGCCCCTGCTGCTGCTGCTGCTGCTGCTGCTGCTGCTGCTGCTGCGCAGCTGTGGGGCCCCACACTTTGTGTCTGCATGCGTGCAGCAGCGGGCCCCGTGGTGATGCGCATTTCTCACCTCAAGTATATTCTCAACTGGCAGACCCTAATCTAGGGTTTAGGGTTTAAGGTTTAGGGTTTAGGGTTTAGGGTTTGGGGCTTAGAGTTTAGGGTTTAGGATTTAGGGTCTGGGGTTTAGGGCTTAGGGATTAGGGTTTAGGGTTTAGGGTTTAGGGTTTAGGGTTTACTGCTCAGGTCGCTCACGGGAGAAGGAACAGAGCCGAGGACTTTTCAGGTGGTTCTTCATGGGGCAGAAGAAAACCCTCTGCAACTGGTAAGAGCCCTCAAACTCTAAACCCTAAACCCTAAACCCTAAACCCTAAACCCTTTCCCGTGAGCCCTAAACGCTAGACCCTGGACCCTACACCGTAGACCCTCGGCCCCATTTCCGAGTCCCCTAAACCCTAAACCCTAAACCCTAAACCCCAGACGTAAACCCTAGAGTCTGAAGGTCAGGCCCTAAACGCTAAACCCTAAACCCTAGACCCTAGCCCGTGAGCGCCGCTTGCCACCCCCGAAGGCCAAACCCTAAACCCCAAACCCTAAACCCTAAACCCTAATTCGCATGCGTGGAATCTGCGCAGGCCTCGCAGCAGGGGCGGGGTGTCTGTACACCTGAGGGTTTAGACGGGGTGTCTGTACACCTGAGGGTTTTGGCGGGGTGTCTGTAGTGGACTCCCAAAACCGCCCCACAGACATGTGGACTCCCAAATCTGCCCCACAGACATGTGGACTCCCAAATCTGCCCCACAGACATGACCTGAGGGTTTTGGCGGGGTGTCTGTACACCTGAGGGTTTAGACGGGGTGTCTGTACACCTGAGGGTTTGGGTGGGGTGTCTGTACACCTGAGGGTTTGGGTGGGGTGCCTGTACACCTGAGGGTTTGGGTGGGGTGTCTGTACACCTGAGGGTTTAGACGGGGTGTCTGTACACCTGAGGGTTTAGACGGGG